GAAGGACTACAGCTAGACTTCTGGAACTTGCTAAGACTTCTACTCTATAGACCTACAGATCGAACCCCTGCTGCTTATGGACCTATGACAGACCTACCAACTGTCTACAGATACACAGGTCACAGGTTCAACTCTCGGGGTGTACACAGATACTGTACATGGGTAGGGTGAGGTCTAGGGATCGAGCCCTGGGTACTGCATCCGCTACTGCTAAAAGGTGAAAACCGTTTCACAGTTGCATGACTACTGAACAGAAGAAGTGCTCAAAATGCGGAGAAGATGGCCACTGCAGCCCAAAGTATTCTGTCATGGGTATGTACTATGTACTATGTACGATGTTGCCTTGCATCATGTTGCAAACGCGTCTTTGAAGATTGAATTTTGAAATGATAAGGACTAAGTTGAATCTTTCAAGTTTAAGCTGTTAAGGCACATAGATGGCCAAATTGCCACTGTACAATCTGCATGTTTCCAGTATTGAAAAGGTGGGTGGGTGGGTGGGTGGGTGGGTGGGTGTGTGAGACTGTGTGTGTGTGTGTGTGTGTGTGTGTGTGTGTGTGTGTGTGTTTTAAAAAGACCCCAGATTCTCTCTCTCATTCCATTCACAAATCATCACAAGCCATCCATAACGAAAAAGTTTAGATAGGCAATTCATAGAAAATGCAAGGTTGGCCACGTTTGCGTGGTTCGGCGCCAAGTGCCCAGTGTGTGTGTGTGTGTGTGTGTGTGTGTGTGTGTGTGTGTGTGTGTGTGTGGAGGGAAGGGAATGGGGTTGAGGGGGGTGCAGAAATGGGAAAGTTTTGCGCAGGCGCGATGCTAATCTGCTCACTATCGTTCTGATTCTAACCGATGGCCCAAAGGACAGGGAAAGTCGCAATCCGAACATTACTCTTTTTTGTTTTTTTTCGATACAATAACACTTTTTGAGCAGCTGATGAGCAGTTCGAGGTGTGGCCCATGTCGCCATCATACAGGTGCCTCAGAGCTTCACTGCACTTTTGCTGAAAGCTTAAACCACCAGCAACCCAGGGGTTCTTAGGGCCCCTCTGACGAAAATGCATATGGACTGCCCCGGCACACCGATTCAGCCTCCGCGTTAACGCCTAAAAATGCGGTAGGTACTGGTGGTTTAAGCCAATTACCATTCTCCTTCTCAGTCTCTCTTCGCTGAAATGAGGAACAGATCAGCAAACACTTCCTAATAGCAGATCCATCGAAATGAGAAACACTGCGTGATAGCAGATTCATCGAAATGAGAAACATAAAAACTACTGGTCGATTTACTTGTGCAGTGTGCACATAAGACTTTTCAGACTCTTGGCATATGTTTTGTTATCAGTGTCATCAGAAGAACTTCCTTCCGTTCGTAATTGCGCGGAAATCATGGTAGATCGATGTCCACTTTCGCTAGAGAGTAGGGTGGCCAAGGAGGTAAAAACCACCGTAGAGATAGAGGATGGCAGTGAAGCGGAGCAAGCTAACCAGCTTTGAAAAAAACAAAACAAAAAAAAACAAAAAAAAAAACAGAGAAGAAAATAAGATGGGGGGGGAATATCGAGATGGAAAGGCAAGAATAGGCTCTGAGCCTCTGAGGCGAGCTAAGGATCGTAAAGCTAAACTGGGTAATGCTCCCACGATAACTCCGGGTCGAATTGTGAGGTCCCCGGCCTCAAGCTTCATTTCAATATATTCAACTGTTCTCCCAACCAACCAACCAAAAAAAAAAAAAAAAAAAAAAAAAAAAAAAAGGAAAGAAAAGAAGAAGAAGAAGAAGAAGAGGGGAGAAAACAATGAATGCTGACCTCGCGTGGAGAGAAATATCTGAGTCCCAGACAGCAAATGGGTATGCCGTTCCAACAGGTAATTGTTGTTCCCTCCTCCTTAACGTCGACCTCGCATCTGTGGACGCTCTTGCCATAATCACAGGCTGGCGCACCATCTGGCACCTGCAAGAAAAGCGCAGATCGGATTTTTTTCGGGTTTAGCAAAACTCTGTTAAGGCACTAGTACCTTTGTCGGCCCAGAAAATAGTGAGTGGGCCTCTCCGACCTTTCACGAGGCGGAAAGTTGGAAACGAAACAACGGCCGCCGATCAGATTTATCGAAGGCAGCCGTTGTCGGGCCCGGCCTCCGAAAAGTTCGGGACTAGGCTAAAACTTGTTGAAACCAGACGGCAAAGGTACTACTAGTGGTTTAAGACAAAAAAAAAAAAAAAAAAAGCCCTAGGAATAAAGGTTAGTAGTAACTTAGTACATTTCACAGAGATAGAAAACAATCGAAATAAAAAACCGACTTCTGAAATATTGCGTCCATTTAAAAGGAACAGAAGCCTCAGAAGGTATATTCAACACGATGAACCACAATGCTGAAGAGTCTGTGAAGATTCAAGATTGACATCCATCTTATCCATGTCAGAAACTGAAGTGTCAAAATAACTTAAATTACTTTGTCAGTTTAACTATTTGCAATCAGACTCGCTTTCAAACACACTTTTCACACATGTAAACAGTACGCAGCACACTGGCGACATGCGCCCACTCAATACTCAGAGATATGGCTTCAGATACGAGTTCACTCTCGAATGGCTATGGCGACTTCAGCGCCCAAACATCTCACTGATCACATACACTGGATCACCCTGGATATCCCACACGCATCACTCTAACACTYGAACACAACACACACTCACTACTAACTACAGCTATGGCAGCTATGGCTGCCTCTAACCTATCGCTATGCTAACTCCTCCTCTCTTGCCCACTGCGTCCTCCGGGCTCATCTGCAGACCTCCTTGCACAAGTCGCTGTGGTAGCGCTTCCGCATG